GAAAGAAAGAAAGAAAGAAAGAAAGAAAGAAAGAAAGAAAGAAAGAAAGAAAGAAAGAGAGAGAGAAAGAGAGAAAGACTCCTGTACTCTATGGAGTCACTGTATTTCAAAATATTTCCTAGGCAATTTCTTTGTCTATTAAAGTTTGAGAGCTATAAGCCCATTTTTTAATACTTTCTCAAATCAGCATGATTTATATCCAAGCCTTCTCTGAACTGTCCCATGCAAGAGTGCCTTTGTCTATCTGAGAATGACTACAAGTATGTAGACAACTCCTCCTAACTACATCAAATAAAAAGCTACAAAAGCACCAACTTACCACTGTCAAATTTTGCATAATGAATATTTGGTGTGCTTATAAATCAAATGTATGTGGTTTGAAAATGACAAGAGACATAGGGGCTTGCTGAGTACTTGCAATTATTTCAAGTGGCTGCACAGAAAATAAGGGAAGGTATCATAAAGCAGGCGTAATTAGGAGTAATGGACTAAAATTAAGCCCAGAAAAATTTACTCTTGATGTCGGAATGCATTTTGCTCACAGCAAGGTCAGCAGCCCCCGTGGTGGTTCCACTCAAACGGCTTGAACTCCTTCCTCCAGGTTAAGTAATTTCCAAACTACGCTAAGGGAGCTTTTAGAAATGGGAGATTCTCAAAAGCTCCTTGACTAAGTATTGATCTGGATGGTTTAATACAACACTTCCTTACTGAACTTAAGCATTTCCTGTTGCCAAATTGCCCTTCGGCTGCTTTATTAACTAGGCTTTTCAAACATCCCTTTGAGGTCAATAAAAAATTTTATTTCCACTTTTTACATTAAAGAACCCTAAGGTATAGGGGTTGAGGACCTCACCAAGGTCACCCCGAGAGCAGGCAGCCAGTATCTGGGCAGTCTGGGTCCTCCTAATCATTTACATCAGCTTGCACTAATTGCAGTTCCTCTGAGATTGGGAGAGAGAGGGAGGAAGATAACACATAGATGGTTGCCACAGTCCCTGTTTAACCGGGTTTTCTTATGGCTGCTGCTGCCATTGTATGAATTACTGCGAATTTTTATGCTATGCTGCAAATACAAAACACTGGGTCGGCATTGCTTTAGCATTTAACAAATAACGCAATAATGTTAGGTGTGTTGAATCATTTATTTGAATCGTATGTGTGAATTGGTTTGAATTGGTATATTATGCCAAATGACTACTTTGAATGAAATTGTGCTCGTGTTGAACTTGTAGATCTCAAACTGAAGAAGTGTAGATTGGTTAAAGCAAGGTCCCAGGTGCTATTGGTGCTCACCCTTAGGTACCACTATTCAGAGTATGGGGGTACAATCTCATTCTCAGATTTCCTCCACTTAAATAGCGTGAGTTTCTGTAAGCCATTGCCCTCATAACATGCGGGCTTTCCACTAAGCAATGACTGATCTGCTCAGATCTCGGTGTTCTACCCACCCACTCCTAAGCACTGTGGGAGGGGGAAAAAGCTCATAATGAATGTGTATATTGCTTACTTCACCATACTTCATTCTGGCCATAAAGAAGTTCCAGGTCTCTTGTGCTAAATAAAAACTGATATAAAATGGGGTGGGGAGGAAAAATGGGAAAAGCTTACCCAAGTGTCATATTTCTCTAAAGATGGTCACTTTTATTGGCGTAGAGGAGAAATTGGGGGTAGATAGATTCAGAGTAGGTGTGGGAAGGAATGCCTCTTCCATCACGGCCCTATTTTAAAGCTCTTCTGCCTTTCCATTGAGACTGAAGTCAAGACATAAGTCTGCTCTTAACTACCTCCAGTCAAGGAAAATGGCAAGAATTTTATTCTCTCACTGAGCCCCATCACATCTCCTCCTTCTTAGTTTCCCAAAGGTGTGATCAATTTCAGTTCATCGTTCTTCCAAGGGTCACCATCTGAAAGTATATTCTAGGCTGCCGAATTCCACAGAAATATTCTCCAAGGCGCACAATCTCCTCCTCTACCCAACCATTTTATAAATAAGCTCTACATGACAAGGCCATCTTTCTAAATGCCTTCCAGCCAACACATGTACAGGGAAACTTAATCATCTGAAAGTCTGCTCTCAGTTATGAGGGATAAACACAAAATTGCTCTACAATGAAGCGTTAGCGCACAAAACACAGCACGCCAGCTGGAACATGGCAGAACTGGGAGAGGGCAGGTGAAACAGATTCCACTAGACACTTACTGGGTGGTCAGCATCAAGCTCAGTACCATACATGAGAACTCTGTGAGAGCATCTGTCTAACTCAGAGATCTTCCGAGGGAACCACGGCACGTCCTCTAGTTCTGTTGAAAACAATGAAATAATATTAGCTCACGGATTGTGTTTTCCCCTTTGCTGAAACATCTGTCGGATTGTAAAATCACCCAACACACACAAATATATATATATATATACAAAATAAAATAAATCACCCTTGCCTTCTTCCTCTGTCCAAATGTTCTCAGGTGGGTTAAGTGTCACAATGGTGGTCTGAAATTTCAGCAACTGAATGAGCTCATTGAATTCTGTCTTGCCACATTCGCAGTCCACGAAGATTTCAACTTCAGAACTTCTTCGCCGGGATCTCCTGGATTCAATATGAAGCATGTTGACATGTTTTTCCTGTGGACACAGAGTGAATGTACCTAAATCACACTCAGGTCACTCAGGTTAGATTGGAATGCTAATCTTGTGCATATATCAAGGACATACGGAGAGGATCGACTATGGTTTGGTTGATTAATCGGTGAGGACTTCTCCAGCTGCAATTTTTATTAACGAGAAAGGCAAGTTGTCGTGCCTCTGAGTACTTTGTCTTGTCTCATAATAAAAGAAAAGGAGGACACTGAAGACATATGAAAGACACTGTCCAATATATTGTGATTATAAGCATCACTTCTGAGAGAGGCCCACATCCCACTGCAAATGCAGACTGGCTGACAAGGAGCGTTAACGTAAGGTTAACGCTTAAAAGTTTATCCTAAAAAAGTTTATCCTAAACTTTGTATTCTCATATTCTTGAAAAACACAAAATGCAAACTCTTACTTAATCTTATAGTAATAAAATGCTTCCTTTAAAAATAAACTTTAACCTAGAACCTCTGCTCAGATGTAGCCTGTGGTAGCTTAGTAACCAATTGGTTTCCCATAGTGAGGGGAACAAGGACTATTTCTAACAGGAACTCAATGACTGGCTCTTTGGCCTCCCCACCCACCAAGGGAGGAGCAGTCCTGTTAGGCCACAGAGGAGAGCTTTGCAGCCAGTCCTGAAGATACCTGAAAAAACAGGATCGGATGAATGGGGAGGAGGTTCCCCCTATCAGTGGACTTGGCAAGGGGCACAGTGGAGATGAGGGAGGGAGGGAGGGACTGGGAGGGAATGAGGGATCAGGACACGGCTGGGATACAGAGTTAATAAAATGTAACTGATAAGAAAAAAACAAAATTCAAAAATAATAAAAAAATACTCCAGTGTTGTGATCTAAATAAACCTTTTTTCTTTATAAAGTTTAATAGATAGATAGATAGATAGATAGATAGATAGATAGATAGATAGATAAATAGATAAATAAAGTTTAAGAGTAAAGCAACCATTTACAGTCAGACATGATGACTCATGCCTGAAATCCCAACACTCAGATGGCAGAGCCAAGAGAATTGCAAGTTCCTCTAGGCCACATAGCAAGACCTTGTTATATAAAATAATAATTTTAAATAAAAACTAAAGCAACTCTTTTTTAAAAGTGGATAATTAAAATGAGAGGCAGAAAATGGAAAGCGTACAAAAATGTCTAAGGTTTGGAAAATATTGATCGAAGCATAGCCCAAATTTTAGAAAAAAAGGGAAACAGGAATAGCATACAAAAGAGAATCTTCCAGGCAAAGAGGAAAACAATTCATGTGCAGTGAAGAGGCAAAACGTAATAATTACAGCCCCTAAACAGGTCCACATAGTAACAGTCTTTGGCATCCGGGAGCCTAGCTTCACAGGAAGATCTATTCTGCAGCTGTCGCTTTGTGAATCTCCTTGTAACAAGCATTTCCGGGAGGAACAATAACTTTAATGCTTAAAGATCCAGTTTAAGTTTCTCATTGATACACCTTTCTCTTTGATAACTGTAGCCTATGGCCTCCTCTCCATGCCCTGACCCATCACTTCAGAGACTGCACTCTGGATCTCCCACAGTTTCTGAAACAATCCTTGGATGCTCTATTTCTGTTTTTATTAAGCTTTTCGATGATGCTATGTTTTATAAGCTGGCTAATAATAAAAGAGGGATTAATATTAAGTTCAAGACCCAGAAGACCCACTTCCACTGTGCCATTTGGGGCTTTTAATGTTTGGTTGAATCAGAGTAGCTATTTTTAGGCCAGGGCACTGAGGTCCCAATCGGTTAAGTGGTTTAGCTAAGACCTGGTGACTAGCTGATGGCAGAGTGCAAATTCAAAGTGTGAACCCCTCCTCCAGGGATTTTTCCACTGCACCCAGCTGTCTAATTGAATTGGCTTGCCTCTGGGCACCGTATGGACACAGCCCGGCATGGCATAATTATGTGTAAAATACTACTCCACATTTCCATTAACACTGTTGACGGTACCTGATCCTCGCTTCAAGGCCAAAAGGGAGCAACGAAACATTTTCAGAATCAGGTTACTTCCCCATCTCTGATCATCTCGAGGCATCACAAATAATGCCTCCTGTCTGAAATTTCCAAAACAATCTCATATTATCTCATCCCAACAACCCATTTAGGTAGAAATTGTTATTATTGTCATTTTACAAATGAGGAAATTGAACTGAGGACCACACAGTGGTTAGCCAACCCAGCAGAACAGCAGGTCCAGGAAGAGCGGAGCTCTGTCTTACAACACTGCCAACCAGCCATTACACCCAACAAAAGGCATTTGTAAGGGTTTTTGCTTAAGGTGGAGGAGACAACAGGTGTACAAGGGGTTTCTCCTCACCCAAGCTCTTTATTTAGGACTCAAAAATAAAATCTCATGACTTGAAACTTTCATGATGTCTTCGAGAAATGGATTCAGGAATGCCCTGCTAACAAACCATAGGTGTGTTGCCAGGCACACAGCCGCCTTAAGGTTGCATAAGGGTGTTCAGCATTTACCTGGAAGAGTCTCAGTGCTTTTACCAGCCCTCCAACTTCATTCTTCAAGGAGAACACAACCGCTGTCTTGCCACTCTCTGTAGAGTCACCTTTGCCGCTCTCTTTGCTTCCTTTCCTGTCCTCACTTTTGCTAGCGATAGCTTTATTTAGCTTCAAGAAAGTAGAAGCACAAAAATCAGTTATATCCCAGAGGTTTCCATAATTTAGTTTGTCCAGAGATTCCACTTAAATGCTGGAAGCCCCAACCATCATACAAGCTCAAAGTGGAATTGTCCTGGTCTCAACCCTCAATCTCAAATGCCAGTCTAATTTAGGCTGAGATGTTCATTGCACTGTTTCAAGCTGGTACCTGGAGACTTAACTTAAAGGAAGGTCAGTTTGCTTTAGTTAGATAGTGACAAAAATCTGATGATTAGCAAGTAGAGTGGTTTTCAACCTTCCTGATTCTGAGAACCTTTAATACAGTTCCTCATGTTGTGATGACCCCAAACATAAAATTATTTTCATTGTTACTTCATAACTGTAATTTTGCTACTGTTATGAATCGTAAATATCTGATATTTCTGATGGTCCCAGGCAACCCTTGTGAAAGAGTTGTTGGATTCCCCAAAGGGATTATGGCCCACAGGTTGAAAACCATTGAATAAAGATAAACTGATATATGTGGATAATGTCTGCCTTTCTTTTCAGGGTAATTTTTGCAGCAGCATGAAATCTGACTGTTTGTCTTAGTTGGCTCATGTGTAAACTATATTAATCACCAAATATACCAAACACAAAACCAAACTTTTTTTTTTCAACAGCAAATGTAGCTTCAATGAAGTCTCTAAAGCAAAAGTAGTAACTGCATCCTAAAACATGTTAGGACATGCGTTCAAAAGAGACCCACATTGAAATGAGACCCACATTGCCATCACAAAGCATCAGTCTGAACCTGCCTGCTCATTGAGAACAGGCAGGTTCTTGAACCATGCGCCCAACCCATTCCTCTGTGGAAGACTGAGTCTGGAAAGTGACTAGTACATTTCAATCACAAATAAAGCAGGCCGGTGGAAAGGCGGAAAAGAGAAAGAACCGGCTAGCTAACCATTGGGAACAAACAGGAGAATCTGAGTAAGAGCGAAGTTCTTCCGGCTAAAGATACAAATAACAAATTCTAGCAATTCAGAGCACATTGCAGAATTTGTAAAACAAACCTGGAAACTTTCCTTTTGCCAGACAATGTAGAATTATGATGCTCTGTTTTGTAATCGTTTCCTGTGAATGCAGAGTTGGGCAAACAAAGAATTGTCTCCCTGGCTAATGGTGGGGTAACTTAGTCACAGCAGTCTGCTACGTTCTTCTAGACCTAAGACCTGTACATTTATGTGGAACCCAGTAAAAAGTGATCTGTCATTGTCTTCCTTCAAATTCTCTACTGGCTTTAGTTTTATACATTAAGATTGCCTCGCTCACTGAATTTATATATAATAGGAATAGATATTTTATTATTTATGACTTGAGGGAAGTTTATGCTGGCATTGGCATTTGACAGTATGTTTAGTCATTAAAAGCTCAAATGTCTTCGTGTTCTCAACATCTGCTCCCTCCTCTCCACATAATACCCAGATCTCAGATGTCTATGGAGCATTTTTGTGTGAAAGGGTCATACATTAACCATAACTGAGTTTTTTGTGTGTTTTCCTCCTAGCAGTTTATTATGACTTCGGAATTCCTCTGTGTAACATCTCATCCAAATATTCATGATACTTGAGTGTTAGAAAATCTATTTTACATTTTGGCCTCATTTTCACAAATTGATTTAAATAGTGCTAAGAAAGTTGCTGTGACTATTTTTCTACATTTGTGTGGTAATAACTAGAATGCACATACTTGGAACTATAGCATTAAACCTGATTTTTCTCTGACAAGCTGGATTTGGAATTGGTTGATAAGCAGGGAGGACAACTGTAAAACATCCCCTAAAATTTTTAGGAACAGAAGCATGGATATATTTTTATTGCATGTTAGTAAAACAAAAACACTGTGTTTATTAAATCTCATGACTATCGCTCAAATTAACATACAAACCTTCCAAGAACTATAATTTTACAAATATTGTTTTTATATCAGTATTTTAAACACAAAAAGAATCTTGTAAATATTGAAACAAGCAAAATATTTCTTCCATTATTTCATCAATTAAACATTAAAGGGGAGTAATACAGAATGTAGGAAACCATTTAAACAGTGCTAGTTCCAAAACCTGCACCTAAATTCAAGAATACACGTATTCCAACAGAGCCAACAAATCTGGGCCTGGGGGTTCCTGCAGAGACTGTTGTACCAACAAAGGACCATGCATGGAGAGGACCCAGGCCACCTGCTCAGATGTAGCCGATAGGCAGCTCAGTCTCCATGTAGGCTCCCTAGTAAGGGCGCCTGGGGCATTCTCTGACATGAACTCTGTTGCCTGCTGTATGTTCACTTCCCCCGGGGGCGACAGAGGAAGAGGACACAGGCAGTCCTGAAGGGACTTGATAGTCTGGGGTCAGTTGGTAATCGAGGAGGGCACCTTTTCTGAGGACTAGGGGACAGGGATAGGGAGAGGAGGATGGATGGTGGGACTAGGAAGAAACAATGGAGGGGGCTACAATCAGGATGTAAAATGAATATATTACTTTTTAAAAAGAATACACATATTAGTTCTATGTTCAAGGACAAGTTTTGAGGAAGGTGTAGGAGACAGTATTGTCTTGTAGAAACCAGAGATATTATTTAATTCTTTCTCCCATATCTTGCTTATCAAAAGTTGTTCAGTGTTCTAGGCAGAGTGAGTTTAGGTCATTGATTCACATAATCTTTTACTCTTCACGATAGGAAAACTTCACTTTCTGTTTGAAGAAAGTTGATCTCCCAGCAATTCACCCAGCTGCTTTACTTTGTGGAGAGCTAAGGCAGACAGAAGGGAGGTAGTGAGACAAGGCTACAGAGAAGGAGGGAGTTGAACTGCATGCCTACTCTACAGCAGGTGTCCATATGGTGAGGTTAAGACAATTGTAGCCCTAGAGAACACTGTAGAGTGCCAGATACTCGATACTCACTGTTAAGCTGCCAAGAAGCTGATGCTCGTCGGGCACTGCCGAATCCAGGGACAACCCTCTCCTGGCCCAGTATTTACTGGAAAACATCATCATTGCCGGCTGCATGGATCCCGATGTAATTTTCTTTCTCAGCAGCAGGGGGGACCAGAGGGGCAGCCTTGACGGAGATGAAGGAGGAAGGGCCTAGTGGCAGAAGCCGGCTCGGGGCGCTGTCCACAACCCTGGTGCTGAAGAGCAATGCGCTTCCTCCCCTCCCTGTGTCCCTTTATATGAGTGACTGGGGACTGATGGAAAGCTGATTAGAAAAAACTCATTTCTGGTTGCTGATGGCCACAGTCAGATTACAGATCTGAAGCCTGGGGTTATCTGTGCTCGTGATGAGATTTGTTTCATAGGTCGAGTAGCTCTTTGGGAAGAGATGACGGAGAATAATATATCAGGGTTTTTTGTTTTGTTTTGTTTCTTGCAACAAAATAGCAGTTCTCTAATTTTAATTCTCCAGCTTGCTATTGGAAGGTTACCCTCAGTCTTTAAGTAACTATGAATGTAAGGGCTTTGTGCTTTCTAAAAGTAAGGAAATAATTTAAGAGAGGCTATTCTGAGAGCTGACATCTTATGATGTGCAGGCTTTACATGTGTGTATGTGTGATGGCTTTCCTAAGGGATTTGTTTCCAAAACAGGGGTTTTCTCTATGTAGAAGGATGCTCAGGCTATTGTACTGAGAAAACATAAAAAGCAAGGCTTGAACTTAGCTCAGAAACTAACCCTCATGAATGTTCTTCACTAAGTAAGAAATATATGAAAATGAAATGCCCATAGACCCGTCATTCCTTTGATACTTTCAGTAGCTCCTCTCCGTGACTTGATCACATCCAGCAACTGGACAAGCATAGATAAAATTATATCCTTACTTTTCCAATTTTAGAAAGTCACAGGAAAGCTTGCCAATCCTTTGAAGAATGGAAAATTATTAACCAAGTGTGTTTAGCTGAAGAACTATGAAAAATCTGGGACTCATAGTTTATATAGACAACAAAATAAAGATTCTTCCAAACAAGACTGTATATGTTAACACTGATTGGATTCTAGTTACTTCTGGAAACTTGAGGGTTTATGATTATTACTTGATCCAACTCTGAAAATAATCATTCAACTCATATTTCTTCTGAAGACTAGTGCTGAAAGGCTAATAGGAAACATATTAATAAATCAACTAAAGTAATCATAAAAATAATAGTTGACATTGCTAAGTGCCTAGTTTTTGCCAGTTTCTATTCTGAACACTTTCTTTTGTTTGTTGTTTGTTTCATTGGTTGGTTGGTTGGTTGGTTGGATTTTCAAGACAGCATTGGCTGTCCTGGATTTGCTTTGTGGACCAAACTGACCTTGAATACACAGAGATCCCCCTGCCTCTGTCTCCCAAGTACTGGGATTACAGGTGTGCACCACTGCACCCAGCTCTGAACACTTTCTGTGCACTTTTATAGGTCAGAACATGATCAGTTATCATAATGACACTTACAGTTACTTTGTGTGTGTGTACACTAAGGCATGAAAGTCCTAGGTAAATTAACAAAGATCCACATGTTTGAAAGAATGTCCAAGGTAGGATCTCAATTCAGGAAATTTGTATATTGTATACAAATTATACAACATGTTGTATAGTCTCAAGAACTCCAAACAGGGAGAAGGATGTGAACAAAAGCGGACTCACCAGACCACAGATTATAGAGCCATAAATAGAACACATATAACTAAAACTTTGAAACCGAATCCTACGGGTCCAAAGGAGCATAAAACACAGCACTGACCCACCAAGAACCACAGCCGAGAGAATCCAGTTGTGCAATGACCAAGTGGAACAGAGGGTATCCATCAACCCCTCTGTGGAAGACATCAAACGTACAAGGCACAGAGCAATCAGCACTACATACATTATGGAGTCCTGAGACTCTGTAAGGAGTTGTCTGAACTCTTTAAAAGTGAACTTGGCAGTGACATAGGCAATGGAAAATGGCAAGGAGGTGGTTTGGGATAGAGAGGTCAACACAACAAAATATGTAGGGAACCATCATTATTCAACAATGACGTAATCTAGGTGTAAGGCAAGATGTCCCCATGAGACAAAACTAAAAAGGAAAGCATGGTCTAGAGTATGACAAGATATCCATGACACTGTATAGCTCGGCACTTTATTACCTTTTCCTGTAAGTGAAAGTCAATTGGAAGGGCTTTCTACAGTGCAGTCATCTAAACATAGTGGCATTTTAGAGTAGCAGTACCTCAAAAGAGGACTTCATTAAAAGTAGAAAATCGAACTTAAAATAATGCAACCAGAATACAACAGCTCAGATTAAGATGGTAAATAAATGATGAAATGAAAAGCACCAGGAATGTGAAGGGGTAAAAATCCAGCCCAGCAACTACTGTCCCTGATCAAGTGTGGGGATTAGTAAAAAGAATACTGGTAACCATAAATCAGTCAATCGCTCAGACTTCAGCTTCTTGCAATGGTAATTAAGATGGTAATTAAGGCAGAGACCTAAAACAGGACAATGAGCAGAGAATGAGGGACCTTGGAGCACTCAGCACTAAATGAAATGTTTTTATCAAACATTTTCCTTTAAGGTACCTGTGCAGAAATGAAAACAGACTGTATGAACTAGAGGTGGTGGAGTTCTCCAGGGAAACTGTCAACCAGACACTACAGGACCAACACCCATATAAAAGCACAGAGACAATGACAACACTCATAAGCCCTGCACAAATCCAAGCCAGAAAAAATAGTCTAGTGAGAAGAGGGCACAAAGTCCCACCTATAGCCAAGAAGCTACTTGCAACTGATACTTTCTGAGTTAGGAAAATCTGTTTTCTCTAATTGAGTGTCTTGGGTACATCAACCACACTCCACGACAGGGGCCCTGCCCAGAAGCAAAGGCCAACACAAAAACGAACTATGTGGATGTCTGTGTGTGTGTGCCAGTGTGTGTCTGTGTGTTTTTCTGTGTCTGTACTTTTTATTTTGTTTCGTTATTTTTTGTTTTATTGGTTTTGGTTTCTTTGTTTTGATCTTTGGGTTTTGTTTGTTTGTTTGTTTTTTCCTTTTTTTTTCTTTCCAGCTTGGTGTTTGTTTTTGAGAAAGGGCAGGAAGGAGGAAGAAAGAGTAAGAGAATATTACATAGGGTGAATAAGAAAGTGGTGAGGATCTGGAAGGAGTTGGAGAAAGAAAAAATATGAACAAAATTAATTACATGGAACAATATTAAAAATGTCCCCAAAAGAATATTAAAATCCGCTTAAAGTATCTATTGAAACTATTGAAAATTGTAACCACTTTTGTTCACTTAAAAAGTATATGGAAGCAACAAAAGCTTTTCTTTTTAAAGCATACAAGAATAATGTAAGTTCATAAGCAGCAGCGATAAAAACTGGAAATGTTATGGGATTTAAGAGTGATCAAAAACTTTGCAGACATGAGAAAGCCGAATTATCAAAAAAGACTTTATTTACACGTGAGAATCCGCTAAATGCTCCATATCTGTGGCATTATGAATAAAGAGGCATCCATAAAAGAGTTGTCCTGAGTCAGTAAGCAGGAGTCAGATAATTCCAAAATACACAAATTTACTCATCAATAGGGTTTGCTACTTCATAAGGACAGACATACACATAAATGGACTAGATCTCATAGCCCGTTAAATAATCCACAGTACCTGTGATCAATAATCTTCCCAGAAAGGCTCCAAGATAATACAATAGGAAAATAATAATCTGAACAACTAATATAAGGTGCCTAATCCCAGTTGCTATATCTATAATGCAACCCTTAAATCTGAGGCCCAGGGAAAATGCTGGAATAGAATAACAGAAATTTTCTTAGAGCCAGAGGACTGGAACACCTGCTGCTAAATAATATGTTCTGGACTTGATAGGGAAGCTGCACCCACGACACTTCAGCAGTATGGTTGCCTATACAGATCTGCATAGTGAGAGACCCATGGATGGGGGCGTCTCCCCCAGTTGAAAAACTACATGCAACCAGTGGCTGCTGGGGTGAGCCCTCTGATGTTACCCAATCCAGTGGGTGAGCCCTAATCACCTGTACAGTCAGTCAACAATAAATGGACTCAGTAGGTTTTGCATGCATGTGTGTGTATGGAATACAGTAATAATTAAAGCAGCAGTCATGAATTTCATAGGAGTGGGAGAGACATGAGAAGTTGGAGATAATGCTGTAACTCTAATTACGTATGTGTTGTCAAAAAATTTAAAGAACACAATCAATACATTAGGAGAATATATCTATCTATTGTATCTCATCCAGAATAAAGAATTTTTATAATTCAGCAACATTAAGAGTTGAATAGAAGCAGGGCGTGATGGCATGTGCCTGTAATCCCAGGACTCAGGGAGGCAGAGGAAAGAGGATTTCTGTGAGTTTGATGCCAGCCTGGTCTACAAAGTGAGTCCAACACAGCCAAAGCTACACAGAGAAACCCTGTGTAGAAAAAAAAAAAATCAAAAGAAACAAAAAGAGCTGAGTGGATACATCTCCAAGACATGGTTAAAAAGCCCATGGAAAAAAATAGTATATATCATTAATAATTTGAGAAATGCAAATCAAATAAAAATTAAGATGCTATTTCAGATCCAGTGGGGTAGTTAGAATCAAAATAAAAGAGGATACCTAGAATTGAGGGTGAGACGGAAACCTGGGGCTTTTCTTATATTGTCTATGGCACTGTAAAGTGATGTAGTCAATCCAGATAATGGTTCATGGCCCCTCGGTATATGACACAGAGTTATCATATGCCCTATAAGTTTTTACCCTGACCCTGGTTTGAAACTTCAGCTCTGATACTTGCCTTAGTGCGGCATTTTGTGCAACTGCTTTGCTGATCAAATTGAATGAGTAATATTGGTATAATGTTCTTGTAGAACATACACAATTTACCCTTGTCCATTCAAATGCTGTTTTCTCTATCCCACTATCTGGGGTAGATATCCCACTACTACATTGCATTGTTATGCTTATTCTAAGCATCACCTGTCTCAAGTTTGTGTAAATATGCCATTTGTTCTCTGTATTGTCAATAATACAACC